GGAGCTCTGCCTCCGGCACACCTGAGCCTGAAGAGCGAGGACAGGTTAAAGCTGTTCTGACCCGACAAGGCTGTAATGGCTCGGTGGAGGCCATTGCTCAGGTGCGCCGTGCTGTGGCCTCGCTCCCCCAGGAGTGCCCTCAAAGTGGCCCCTCCACAGAGGGCCAAGGATGCTCTCTCAAAGATGCTGATGCTTCACACGACTTGACCTCAACCTTTCCTCGACTGACGGCTCTTTGCACCGAAGGACCCAAGCTGCGGTAAGAAGTCTTCCCCAGGGGGTTGGATGTACGATGTCTTTCCATCTTGGAGCTAGGAGAAAGCCTACGGGCGAATTCAAAGACAGGATCCCTCCTCCAGGACCTGAGCTGGGCTGCAGCAAGATTTAGCATCTCACCCCAGTGCTGACTCTGATGGCCCATTCCCATGGCCCTCCCGCCTGCTTCCATGCACTGATTAATGGCGTTTGTATTAGGCATAGGGACAATGCAGGATGGGAAAGGATGCCATGATGGTAGCAGCAGATGGGAATATCACCCCCCCACCCCTCCCTGTCCCAAAAATGTACTTATCAAACCCAAAACCCAAGAACAAATGGCAGACCGAGAGCACTGAAAGTCTGGAGGGCAGAGCCCTTCAGGCTCAGGTTAAAGGGAAGGAGAAAAGCAGCCTCTGTAATGATTCAAAAGGGGTTTCTCGGAGATCAGAGGGCAACAGGCCGCGTTTTAAAATAAAACACTTTGAGGGAGGTGTTCTTGGCACAACCTAGGAAAAGACTGGTGTCATCTTTACTGGGGCTAGTGATGTTGCGGGGGGGCGCTTTGCATTCTGGGAAATTGCTATCCCTGGAAGTGCTGTGCCGCTGGTGGAAGCAGCCAGCGCTGTTTGCCTCTTCGTTGCATTTGGCAGCAATTTTTTTTCATCAACTCTCCTTCTCCTTACAAAAAAACCCCCCACCTCTTGATTAGCTCGGAGCAAACACCGTCAATCAGGGAGAGCTGCGTGTGTCTTGATGAGCCCTGGCCCCCTCGACGCCCGGAGGAAGCGGAGCCTGCTGGATCTGATACATTTGTTAAAATAAAATAATGTGGGCAGAAGGTGCTAGTTTTCGGGGAAGGATGTTGTTGCCCTGGGGAGATGTCACCGTGTCCTGTATGCATTAATGAAGCGCTTGCGTTCCGGTTAGGACTTGAAAGATGCTCATTGAAAATCAGGCTGCCATGGAAACCAAAGGTGTTAGTCTTTTGGGAGCGCTGGTGGAGGGAGGTAGAGGAGGGAAGCAGCAAAGATGGTGTAGCAGAGCGCGAGGTTTGGCTATGGCTGGTACCCGTCTGTATGGCATGGCTTGTGCTCTCGTGCCAAGAGAGGTGTGTGCCTCTTGGCTTTGTCCTTCCTGTCCTGAGGATTGTCCTGGGCCCTCGCCCGCTTCCCACCCATCTTGGGCAAGAAGGGCCAGACTCTCAGCAGAACCAAGCAGTGCCTTTCCATACTTGCAGTTGGCACCCAGGCTGGTCTAAGGGTAGGAACGTCACTGGGGAGGCTGAGGAGCTGCTGGATAGTAGTTGTGGTGATGGCTGGAGTAGACTCTTCGGTGGGACTTTCCTCGTGCATCAGTGGACCTTCCCCTGCTTCTTCACAGCCAGCTTTGCCCCCCATCTGCTCCCCACCTTCACAGTCCTACTGCCCATGCATTGCTGCGCTGGGATCCATGTAGAGCAAAGCCCTGGGCATGCAGGAGGCACAAGAGGTCTGCACAGCCCCTGCCACCCTGAAAGCCTGGCCTCCTGTGAGAAAGGCACTGCACCACTACCACTGCCAGGAGACCCGCTTTGTAAAGACATGACACTGGCTGATGCCGTGGGGCTCCTTGGAGCAGACTCAGCCCTCAGCCGCAGCTCATGGAGAGACAGACTTCACTCAAAATGTAGACAGGACTCTTCCAGGACTCCAAACGAAGGGCATCCTCCTCCCACCATCCGTGCTGGGCAGTATCATGTTGCTCTTCGTTCCTCTCCAGCCCTTGCAAGCCTTCCCCGCGCACGGTGCTGATGCCCGTCTGCTTGCAAGCCTTCCCCGCGCACGGCGCTGATGCCCATCTGCTTGCAAGCCTTCCCCGCGCACGGCGCTGATGCCCATCTGCTTGCAAGCCTTCCCCGCGTACGGCGCTGATGCCCGTCTGCTTGCAAGCCTTCCCCGCGTACGGCATTTATGCCCGTCTGCTTGCAAACCTTCCCCATGCACGGCGCTGATGTCCATCTGCTTGCAAGCCTTCCCTGCACACAGCGCTAATGTCCAGCTGCTTCCAAAACACAAAGCCCTCCCCCACCCTGGGGGCTTGCAAGCCTTCCCCGCGTATGGCGCTGATGCCCGTCTGCTTGCAAGCCTTCCCCGCGTACGGCATTTATGCCCGTCTGCTTGCAAACCTTCCCCATGCACGGCGCTGATGCCCATCTGCTTGCAAGCCTTCCCTGCGCACAGCGCTGATGCTCATCTGCTTGCAAGCCTTCCCCGCGTACGGCGCTGATGCCCGTCTGCTTGCAAACCTTCCCCATGCACGGCGCTGATGTCCATCTGCTTGCAAGCCTTCCCTGCACACAGCGCTAATGTCCAGCTGCTTCCAAAACACAAAGCCCTCCCCCACCCTGGGGAGAAGATCCCACCATCTCCATTTCACAGGTGGAGGAACCGAGAAGAGAAGGTTACATAGCAAGGGATCAAGGACCAGATCCCTCTGGACCATCCGGTCTCTCTTAAGGTTGTGCCTTAACATGCATCTATGTTATAATCATTCCCTTGACACCTGGCAGCTAAGCTACTGAAAGTGTCAGGTGCCATTTTGAAGGTGTAGACAGTTTCTTTAAAACGGTGAGGGGACGGATGGGTTGGTGTCCCAGGCTCCAATCCTGCAGACAGTGAAAGGCTTTTGCAGCCCTCTGTACAAGGCATGAGAATAAAGAGAATGAAATACCTGGGTTCTACGCAGCCCTACCTGTGACCTGCTGGGTCATTTGAACCCTCTCTACAAACCACAATTCCCCAATGGCAATAGCAATAATAATCAACCTTTGTAAAGGGCTTGGAGATCAGTGGGCAAAAAACTGCCTCCTGAGAGCAAAGACGAATTGCACCGAGTCAAACCAAGTTGTTCCCTCTGCTCCGCACTGGAGCTAATTCCCGCTGCTTCCGAACGGAGCTTTGGACAAAAACTTTCCCCCGATGGTTGGCTGTAGATCATTGGAGCAGTGCCCGCGGACAGGGAGAAAGCACCATCGGTCGTGCACAACCTGTCCTGCACTGAGCACGGGGTCTGCAGCTGGGGGCTGAAAAGACCTGTAGGTGCAAAGGGCGTGTTGATCTGCTGTCGGCGTAGCTGCAGGTCAGCATGGCCTTCTAGCATTCACTGTTATAGGATCCAGGGAGCTATTTCCCTCCTCCCCACAAGGACAAAGGACAGAAAGCTATGCTGCACAGGAAAATAATACAATTACTGCATCTGCTTTCACAGCTCTGTCATGTACTGTTCATTTTAATTAACATACAGCATATGCTGTGTGACAGAGTTATTAATGAAGGTTTGGGGGTCACTGAGAGCCAGTGTCGCCTTCCTCCACCTTGTCATATCCCTGCTTTGACTCGGTATCCGAACGCCCTCCTCCCCCTACGCTTCCTTCTCGTTAACCTTCCTTTCCGTCTCCCCTGCCTCTGCAGTCTCATCCCGCGTGGCTCGGGGCAGTCGTTCCCTCCTTGCGCTGCATCCCGTACCGGAGCTAATTCTGATTGGGCTTGGGGGCATTCAGATGCACACCAGAAGAAGCACTGGCTGCTGCCCACACAAGTCTTTTAATTAGGCATCTAGAATAATTAATGGACTTGAATTAAAAAAAAAAAAAATATCAGCTCTCCTCCAAAGGAAATCCTAGCTCCGTGTATCTACAGTGCATCCCATTCAGGTGCTATGAGATGAGAATGCAAGTGTGAAGTGTACCCGTGAGGAAGACGGGGGAAGTTTTATTACAGTCCAGCACTGGTCTAGTGACTAGAAAATGTGTATGTTTGTGGGGACCATGCACCAAGCCAACTGCTTACAAACAGATGCTGCACGTGAGTCAGCTCTGGAGGTGGCCATTGGTGAATAGATGACATTGTGGAATCAAATTTAGGTGCATTATACAAGATTAAACCACCAGTAATTAAATTGCATCACTAAAGCTGCAGCCCTTATCCATGAGGGGCTAGGGGAGAATCAGCCAGCGGATTTGGATGTTTTGCATTCATCATCGCTGACACACGGCGGCCAAAATGCTGCGATTGAAATGAACCTGCAGCTGAGTCTGCATGTCCTGCGGTCGCCTGGGCGAGTGCAAAGCAGGTGGTGGATCATGCCCATGGCTGCGTGGGCATCTTTGCCCCTGCTTGTATACACAGTTACAACCAGCAAAGGAGCTCCTGGTGTGAAAGCTGTCACTGGTGCACGTGCATCCATTTTCTGCATGATTACCTCGGCTCCTGTTGCTGAAAGTAAGTGCTGCATATCAGGTCTTGCCTAGACTGCGTCTTGGGCAGGGCAGGACTGAGCCAGCCCCCCCCATCCAAGTCTGCAGAGCTGCTGTAGACTCATGCCTATGAGGCCACTCTAGACTTATTCCCAAGACCTGCTCTCAGACCTGCAAGGATCAAGGGCTTGGGTCCAGTCCAGACCCATCTCCTGGATACCCCTCCATTTCTGGAGTATGTTAGTGCCTCCATTTCTGGAGTATGTTAGTGGACTGAGGTGGGTCAGGTGTGCTCAGGCTCATCTCCCCCGAGACCTACTGTTGGTAGAACATAGACAAGCCCCAAGACCAAACCTTTCTCTGTGGTGAGACTATCCCGCACCTTGCAGGCCCATCTGCTGGTCTTGCAAGGAAGGGAAGGTTTCTGACATCAGAGGTGAAGGGAAATCAATCAGGAGTTGATGGGGGATATAAAAGTGGATTGCCCTTTTTTTTTTTGCTCCCCAAGGGAATGCCTGCTACCAGTTCTGAGTAAAGCCAAAGGGAGCAGAGAGTCAAGCTGCACTGAGTTTTCATTCACCGTCTTCCTAAAGAGCTCAACTGCAGACAGATCTGCGTGGGGACCGCTTGGGAAGGATCAAGCAGGTTAGCCAAAATTTTGAAGTCCATATGCATATATAAAAATGTGTTAATCCCCTCCCAGGCTGTCTGATATGGAAGCTCTTATTCAGAGGTAACACGATCAGAAGATCCTGGGAAGACAACCCTGCCCCATGCTACCGAGGAAGGCAAAAACCCCATGGCCTGTGCCAGACTGACACAGGGGAAGAATTCCTCCCTGCCCCACACTTGGAGATTGCCATGCCCCTAAGTGGAGCAAGACCTAGCCAGGAACCTCTGGGTATGCCATTAAAACCATCAGCACACGTGTCCAAAACCCCTAGGCTTAGCTGTGGCCAATGTCCCAGGTCCTCGGAGGAAGATAAGAAATACTTCAGAAGGCAATAACATTCACGAGGAGAGAAAAAAAAGTCCTTCCTGGCCCCAACTGGGAAGCAGCAAAAGCTGCAAGGCACGTAGAGAGAGTTTGCAAGGATCCAGCTGTCTGCAGCCATGAAGTGGGCGATAACTTGGTTGTGTAGAGGCTGGGCTTCGTGACCTCAGATGCAGGTCGAAAGGTAGGTTTCTGGGGACCTCTTTTGTTGCTTTGATTTACTGGCTGGGTGAATTAATTTATTATCTAATTACAGTGATATCAGGCTGCTGACTGGCTGAGTTAATATGTTACCTGGATATAAGCATGTAATGCTGCTGGGGATCGTTATGAAATCTAATTAATTATGAGTGCCTAGAGCTTTCTGTAGGGGCACTCTTTATCGTTGCTTGAATTGCAGGAGTATAAATGCAGAGCAGTCGGACCTCGAAAGTAAACTGAGGCAGAATAAAGAGAAACGTGTATTTTTTGCTCTTCCAATGTCTTTGCGATAATCATTGCAGGTGGTTCCTGCAAGGGGAAACAATTCAATTCAGCCAGTAGCGCGTAGCGTATTGACGCTTCATCCCATGTACACGTCCTTCTTGGAATGCTTGTTACCGAGAGTTCGCATAGTCGGGCCATATGGCATCGGCGTTCATTTGCTTCAATGCATATTTGCAGTACTTATTCTAGTTCAGAGCACAGCTTATAAAGTCAGCTTCCCCGGCACCAGTGTGTTCCCAGTACTAGGGATCCTGATCTTCCAGCAACATTGCCCTGGTTTTTGGATAATCTACCATGGTGGGGACAGTCCGTAGCCAGAAGCTGCTCTTCAAGGACATCATGCCACGAGCACCTTAATGTTGCCAGCCCAGCAAACCACAGAGCACTTTCATCCAGATCTGGCAACTACACAGTGATACCCCCCCACCAACACACACACACTGGTTTTTGGCTGCTTGCAGTCATAGGGTAATTAATCAGCGCAGCCAGAAGCATCTTCTCCTGCCAGAGAGGGAGGGGAAATGCCATCTCCAGACCTGCCAGTGGCCCTTGGGACATAAACCCTAGCGGCAGTGAGATGCATTAAACATCTGCCTGGATTCAAGCCACAGCTGTGCATGGCAGTGTTCACGGGAGGATGTTACAAAGGCTCCTCTTCACGACCTGGGCTTTCATCTCTGGTAGCTAAAGTGCTTAATGCTTGCAGTAGCCAAGAACTGTGCAGCATTAAGAAAGACCTGGCTATATTGTATGTGTGTGTGTTGTATATGTGTGTGTGTGTGTATATGTCATACACATTTACACACACACATACACTCTCTCTCTCTCTTTCTCTCTCGCATGTATTCTAAACCCTTTCACAGACATGCCTCATCCCCAAGCAGGAAATTCGTGGATCCTGAAATCCCCCAGCAAAGGACGGAAGAAAATCCCACGCTGCTGTAGAATTTATGATTGTTTTTGCGGGCGCGTAGATAAAAAGGGCTGTAAATATAGCATCGTTCCAACTTCAGGTTTTTTATGTCTGTTCCAGGTCACCAGCGTGGAATCCCATCTTGATGGCACGTGCATGGGGAAGCATTCGCTCGGATGCGCTGTCAGGCTTCAAAGCAAACCAGGATGTCTATAAAAGAGACTGGGCAGTGTGCATAACTAACAAGTCCTTGCAACCCAGGCTGGCTGTTTGCAAGTAAGAATGGCTCCTTGTAGTGCATGAGTGAGAAATATTGAGAGTGTGATGGGGTTGTGGGCACAGCGGTGGAAAGATGCAGTCATGTTATAGTGACATTGCTGCAAAGTAATTACCATTCGACGTGCTATTAGTGCTTCATGCAATGGTGTAGTAAAGCATCCAAATGAGAATGTACTACTGTAAAGAACTGATTCAGGACCGCTGAATACCCGCTCCTCTGCACAGATGCCCAGAGAGAAAATGTGAGAAAATTTTGCTGACAAGGGGGAGGGGGAGTTGCTGGAAGCCTAGAGGCAAAATCCTTACCCTAGTCTTGGGTAAGGATGTTTCCGAGCAGGGAGGCACTGGCTAAAGTGGAGGCTTGTGGTTGTGAGACGCATGGATTTTACTATTACCAGCTCTTTCCTTGACTTGCCTGGGAACATTGTACGTCGCATCTATGGGGCTCACTATGCCCATCAGGGTACTGGGGGTACTAAGGCAAGCTCCTGTTGGCCAGGTTTCAAGGGGGTCAGAAGGTTTTGATTGATTGATTGATTTTTTTTTTGATTTTTTTTTAAACTCTCAGGAAAATTGAATTTTTTCCCCTCAAATCTTTCTCCTTTTCAGCAATCCATACCACCCTCCATTTTCCAACCAGTTCTGCTCCCTGAAACCTTTGGAGTCCCTCTTTTTTAAAAAAACTTCTAAACATTTTCCATTTTCCACAAGGGAAACATTTGAGGGAGGGATAGGGGAGCAGGGGGGAGGTTGAAAAGGGGACTTGTTATTTGCCCCAGCCAACACCACCGGATCTTATTGCAATCATCTGACAAAGAGAAGACCCTATGTGCTACTTAGTACCAGCACCGTGGAGTCCTGGCCCCCTCTCAGCGAGCTCACAGACTCGACTTGATCTCCATGACGTGCCGGGCCCGGTCCTACGTGAATGCACGCGTGGTGCAATGCAGAGCTCTGGAGAGGTAGCCAGGCTGGCCGGTGTACCAGAAGCAGCAAAGCTGCAGTAGCTTAGAATAGCTCAAGGTATCTGCCTAACATGGGTACACGTTGCTGTTTTGCTCTGTTCCACCGGCCCAGGAGATGCTTTGTTGGACATTGGCATTTGAACCCTTCACCGCTGGATCTGAGGCAGCAGCTGCTAGCGTAGGGCAGCTTTAAAAAGCGCATGGAGTGCACTCCGTGAAGCCAGAGTTGGAGATGCGGGGCATTGGGTATGACCGGAGTTGGGGAAATGTGTGAGTTGTCCTAGGCCAGCGCAGCCCCATGAGTGGTGCCAGTGTCAGGCTAAAGAGGCTGCTGTAACAACGGTCTCTCCTGCAGCTGGAAATCTCGAAGTGATTTACGGCGGGGAGCAAATCTCACTGTCCTCCTTCGACAGAGGACTTGACCAAGATCATTAGCAGAGGCAGGATTAAAACCCAGGCATTTTGGCAAGTGGCTTATCCAGCTAGCTGTATTGTCATCCTGGGAGCTTGCTGGCTGTACTTGTTGCTGTAGCAGATCCTGTCTAACTCTTTCAACGGAAGAGGTGCTGACCTTCGAGGTGTATATGGATCTGCATTTAGTTGGGAAAAGCCTTTTAGTTGAGCCTTCTGCAGCACCACCTCTCCAGGGCTCCTGCCTTCGTGGCTCGCTCATTTAACCGACAGCATCTTCCCTGCGACTGCTAATTGCAGCGGTGCTGTTTGTAGGGGGGGCACCAGTGTGTGACACTGTTGCCAAAGCATCCTACTCTTGTGTTCATCAGCGATGTATCTGAGCACCTTTCACTGCAGGTGGGTATGGCAGGGTTGGGCCCATCAGCCAGATTGCTTTCTATGATTGCTGTCAGAAATCACAGCCTGACATGCCAATGCAGGTTGCTGGGTCTAAAAAATTAAGATCAAAATAGGAGCCAGGTAGGAAAAACATAGGATCATGGGAAAGTCGGGCTGGAAGGGACCTCACAAGGTCACCTGCTCAAGGCAGGATCATCCCTGACTAAACCATCCCAGCCAAGTATCTGTCTAACCTGCTCTTGAAAACGTCCAGGGATGGAGCTGCTGCAACTCCTCTAGGCAGCCCGTTGCAATGTTTGACCACGCTCAGAATCAGAAAGTTTCTAATCTCCACGCTAAATGCCGCCGGCTGCCGTTTGAGGCTGTAGCAGATCTGAAAGACGCTTCAGCATCACCAGCTGCTGAGCTCCCTGTCGGTGCAAGCATTGAGCTCCCTGTCGGTGCAGGTGCACGCCTAGCTTCCACAGTCTGGGAAATAAAAGAAGCAAATTTGCCATCTGATATATATGTTCAGGTTTGCAATTCAGGACAGACCAAGATCCCCCCAGTGTTTGTGTTCAGGGTGGTCAGGACACTCGGCCTCTGCTCCCTGAGGATCACTGGACTGCGTCTTGTACCCCCTCACACCCCAGCTACTGCACTCCCTGCATTTTACCGAAGGGGTGCACACAGTAACTGAGCTCTAATTACATGAACTGCTCTTCTTGATTATCAGCGCTTCAGCCCTTTAGCAGCTGCATCCCAAATAGTCACCGCTGCAACCATCCCTTGCCGGGTGGCATTGTTTGGTTAAAGAAAGCACCTCTGGCATGATGGAGGCATGCCGCTGTCCTGCCGTAGGTATGTGAGCTGTGGACATGACCCCATTTGCGGGAACTGCTGCTTTCCTTTCAAACCACGGGATTGTCAGCCAGGCAGGTTGGCAGCTGCGTTGCTTGCTGCAAGTATTTGTATGAGAGGCTGTCGCATTTGGAGATACCAATTGCACACTCTGGGCTGCGCGGTATATCCGGGCCCGCTTCAACAGTTTGGTAGCAGCCAGTGTGGACTTGGACTGATGCTAACCCACTTCCCACATCCACCCTGGCTGTGCGAGCTTTGCGGATCACCTCCTTCCCCAAAGGGAAGAAGCACAGGTTCTTCAGGACAAAGATGATGGGGCAGGGATGATGCTTTCCTATATTTGTACAGCACCTACCACAGCGGACCCAATCCAGGCTGGAATTTCAGGGAGTTATAAAATGCGGCTATTCCCCTGCACACCCACACACACACCCGCATTAAGAAAGACTGAATGAGGTGACAAACACAAGCAGGTTTTGCAGGAGACGCCTGCCTCATTCAGCGCACGCCATGGACGGCGCTGGTATGCCAAGTAGCTGCTCCGTGCGCCATTGTTCACATCTTATTTGTTACCTTTGGATGCCCAAAGTGAGGTACCTGGGGTCTGATTTCCCAGAGTACTTAACATGCCTCTTAGTTCAACACTGTTTCCATCGACTTCAGCCGAGGCCATGAGGGTTCAGCTCATCTGCAAATCAGATCCCAATGGACCGTGCCAGGCACCCAGAAAACGAGAAATGCATAGGTAGGGAGGGGACCGCCCTCCCTGCTGTTCAGAGCTGTCTCTTTTCCCTTTCATTTTGAAACGAGAAGTCCACAAGCTCCATTTAAAAAGAAACACAGACGTGGACTATTCTGGCATGGCTGACATGTCAACATTTTGAGATCTTGTTGCCCTATTTTCTTGGCTGAAGTCTGCACTAAATTCAAACCCATATTTTCATAAATAGCTTCAGTTGTGGCCTCTCTGTAACTCTACTTTTTTTGGTCTAATTTATTTTTTTTCAAAAAACATTTGCTCCCCTCTAGCCACATCCCAGCCTTTCAGGAACGAGGGATGACAAGCTGCTTGGAGACCCTTGCCGGTAAGGACACCCATGTCTCAAGCAGTAGAGAAGGGCCAAGTCTTTGCTCTACTTAGGCAGGTATTTCCTCATATGAAGTCCAGTGCATCCCCCCCCTGGAGCCTACAGAAGAACTACCATGCTTCTTAGCTTAATATCCTTTCCCCCAATATTATTTCCAGGGCAAAACCCTGTTGAGATAATAAACAGGAGAGGACATGTGTATCGCAGGGCAGAGGAGGACCTTGGCTGAGAGTCAGAAAGTTCTGGTTCTAGCAGAAATGTGACCCCCCCCCCGCCTTTCCATTCGCCCCTCCCCGGACCTTTCTAATTATTATATATTTATTTAACCAGGAAATTTTCCACTCAGATCTCAGCATCTGGTTGTCAGCCCGGGCCGGGGCTTCACCTGATTCTTTCCAGCTGGACTGGCTGGGGCAGGAGGAGGTCAAATAACTTGCCTGAGGTCAAACAGCGAGTGAACCGCGCGAGTGACCCGCTCAGCCAAGATTAAAGCTTGTGAGATTTGGGGGTCACGGCCAGGAGAGGAAGAGAGGAGAGACACAGGATTTCATTGTCCTGACTCCGCTTAATGAACCCAGGGCATCTTCTTTATTTTCTTATTTCCTTTGACTTATTCTCTGACAAAAGATGAGGGGGGATTTTGCACAGAAGCCCCCTGGGACTGGTGAGAGGAAGAAAGACCTGGGGGCTGTGAGAGCAGAAGAGCTAAATGTTCTCAAAAAAGTCCCCAGCCCCACATTTGAGATCTCCTGGAGTAAATATATGGGTGCTGAATTGTTTGCTGTTCAATAGATCCACTTCAGGTCAAGTCAGACCCCCTTGAAGACAAGGCTATAACCCCCATAGAGGACTCTGTCTTGCCTTCCCTTCCCCTTGGCTGAAAGGGTTAAGACTTACTGCATGTTTTCCTCTGGGACTCAGGAAAACTTTTTACACTTATGTCTCCGTTCAGGAATGATGCGAGTGCAAGCCAAGAGTCCTGAACTACTCTGATAGCTCTCCACCTCCCTGTTAAACTAGGTGGTGGCAAGAGCACAGTGGTCACAGCCATAGCATATGACTTTGGGCCAAGAGACAGCTGAGTGCAAGGGAAAATGACGGCTGTCAGCTCCTGTCGTAGAAATGGCCCCGGCTTTGTGTGCGCTTTGATCGGTGAGCCTGGGTCTGGATAAGCTGCGCTCCACACAAGGCTAAGGAGGGAAGTCATTCCCTTTTTAACAGCGATCCCACTGAAAGTTCAGGCCAACGAGTTCGGTGAGAGATCTGTTCTCTTAATCATTCCAGCGCGTACGGAGCCGAGCCAGGCCATAAATAAAGGCGGCTGCTGTCGATTCCAGTCGGAAGCACGAGGGAGCCAGTGGGGTCCAGGGATTAGTGGATGTAATAGCACTAGGTTGATATAAAATCAATTGTTGTCCACTAATGAACGTGTGAGAAATTGGGCAGCGTTGTGCTTGAGTTGGAGAAATCTGATTTCCTCCCCCCCAACACACACACACACACACACACACACACACTTT